GGGAATGTATTGATTGTAACACTAAACTGAGAAACTGTGTGTGAATGTGTTTGTATGTATTTGTGTTTGTTTGTGTGTGTGTGTGTGTGTGTGTGTGCATTTGTGTGTGTCTATGCGTGTGTGTGTGTCTGTGCGTGTGTGTGTATGTGTGTGTGTGTTTGTGTGTGTGTGTGTCCAGGGGCGTCTACAAAAGAGGAAGAAAATTGCCCCCAATTCGAGTTAGGTGGGGCAGATTTTATTAAAAAAAAAAAACTAATTGAAAATTCTTTAAGTCGTCACCGGCAAATATCACACTCGTGCAGCCAATCACTTCAACGTCATTCCCATTGAGTGTAGAAAATTCAGAGATAACGGCCAACAACGACTAACATTCGCGAAGTCTTCGCGTCACTCGTTGAATATCACCACATTTCAACTGCCGCAAAGTGTTCAAGATGGGGTTTTGTGGAGGTCGATGGTCGCCAATGTCCTGAAAGGAGAGAAAGAAGAAGAAAAAAATTCTAAATCAACTGAAAAGTTGACCAAATAAGGGGGGGTGATTTATTTTACCCACAAATTGAGGGATGCCCCCAACATTTTCAATAGGGCATGGATGGCCCTATGTATGCCTATGGTGTGGTGGATAATTATTATTGTTATTATTATTATTATTATTAGTAGTAGTAGTATTAGTATTAGTAGTAGTAGTAGTATTATATCAGTAATTATATAGCGCCTTATAAAGCGAGCTTCTCAAAGCGATCTCTTACAAATGGAATAGATGATCATAATTAAAGTGACAACATTTTAAATGTGTGGTAGTATTAATTCTTCGGATAACATTGGAATCAGTCTTTTTGTAGAATTCGTTTGATATTGATTTTGTTAAAATGTTGTTGGTGTTGTTGCAGTTGGTGATGGTAGTGATACTGCTATTGTTGTTGTGTTGTTGTTATTGTGATGTTTTCTGATTATTATTGTTGTTGATGTTGATGTTGTGGTTTTTGATGTTGTGGTAGTTGTTGATGTGTTTGTTGTTGCTGTGTTTGTTGTTGATGATGTTGGATTTGTTGTTGTTGATGTTGATGTTGTTGTTTATTTTTCTACCAATTCTGCCTCTGATTTATGATTTTATTGATTCATTTATTAATTCATTCATTTGTTCATAATTTATTCATTTGTTTGTTCGTTCGTTCATTCATTTATTCATTCGTTCATTCATTCATTCATTCCAATTTAATCAACCGGAACTTCAAATTTTTTTTCACTCTTTCATTCAATCCACGCATTACTTAAATTTCAACCAACCGTCTTTTTCTTCTCATTCATTTACTTGTTATTTACTTGACTTGATATAAATATATAATATTTATTATTTAATATTTTCATTATTATTTTTATTATTATATTATATTTATATTAATGATATTATTTATATTACTTGACTTGATTTTGACTTGATATTTTACTATTTTTTCTGTATTAAAGAATAAGAAAAATAAAAAAAATAATTAAAAGAATAAAAGAAAAATAAAAGAAAAAAAAGAGAATAAAAAGAAGAGTTATACTCTTTTTTTCAAACTTTTCAACAGTTCAGAAGAATGAACATCAAGCTTGTTGACGGCAAGGGTACTGCAAAGAAACATAATTCAAAGTCACCAGCAACTAATACATCAAAAACAAACACAACAACCAGCACAACAACCAACTACTGCTACTACTTCTGACGCTACAGGTGCTACTACAACTACTAATACTATTTTTACAACTACAGCAACAACAACAACGACAACTACTATAGCAACTACTACTACTAATACTACTACTACTAATACTACTACTACTAATACTACTACCACCACTGCTGCTGCTGCTACTACTGTTGCTACTACTACTACTACTGTTTCTTTAGCCACAACAACTACTACTACTACAGAGCAACAACAATAACAACAGCGACCATACATTCCCAGACTCATAAATCACCACTAACAACTATAATATTTCCAGCTCTCCGACTTTTCACTGACCATCAACAACCCCCCTCCCCTGTCGTTCGTTAATGTTTTATTTTTAAAATACAACAACGCCAGCAACGACAAATCAAGACGAAAATGCCTCCTAAAAGACACAAAATCGTTATCTACTTTCTCTTCTTCAACATTTTTCACCATGATGTACTGAATGAAGGTAAGGGAATTTTTAAGACGTACGTTCGCCTCCAACATGCATTTTTTTTTCTCTCGATCATTTCCAAACTCCAGAACCGCTACTGCTAACATTTTTAACCGCAGACAAACAACCACAAAATATACTAAAATCACACCCACAACATCCTCAATCACTTTGATATAACATTTTCAACCAACCACACCACAGCCAGCAGCAGCCTTAGCGACACCACCACCACCAAGAGCCAAGTGGCAAACATTGCCAGCCTCAAGCCTGCTCGCCAGAGCCACACATTCAGCAATAAAGGAGCGCAACTTGCCGCTGACACAAACGCCAGCAGCTGCAGTGTGGCTGGCGTCGGTTCAGAGTCCGAGGAGTTCGCTTGGTGGCAAGTGGACCTCCAGGTTGTGGCCAGTGTAGTCAGGGTCAGTCTGTTAAACACCTTAGATGCTTATGGTCAGTTTAAATTTTGGTACGGTTTTTTTCTGTGTTGCTTGCCGAAGTTTTATAAGAAATTTTTTGGAGAATTTGATTTATTTTAAAAAGGTCTTTAGATCAGTTTTTTTGGTTTACAGTCGAGTTTATGTAGTAATTAATTTGAATTTTTACGATTATATGTTAACTATTAACATTGCCTTTGATATTTTTATTTAGTTTAAAAAAATTTGAAAATCATTCATAGAATCGACCTACCTGTCTAACTTCGATGTTATTGTGGGTCTTGATAACGCCACATCATTATCACCACCACCACCATCGTCGTCGTCGTCGTCGTCATCTTCTTCATCATCCTCATCGTCATCGTCCTCACCGTCGAACCAAATCTGTGCATCGTACAAAGGAACAGTTGAACCTGGCAAGCAAATCATCATTCAGTGCCAGGCTCCAACAATAGCCAGGTTGGTTGATTGATTAATTAAATAACTAAACAATCCTTTAATTAATTAATTAACTAATTAAATATGTATTTTTTTTAATTTAAATAATTAAAATCATTCCCGTAATTTCACGGGTTCTCCATTGAGTGCAATAGCTGTATGATGTAATGAAGTGTAATGGTATGATCTAACATTTGTCATGGAGACAATGATCATCTATGGCAATCAAGACCTACACTTCTGTATTATAAGTGAAGCTATGTGTAGCTATTCATTTTCATTTCATTTTCAAAGTTATAAAATAAGTGAGTAAAAGTTATGAAGACCAAACTAGACTTATATTTCGCAAATCTGGCTTCTGGGTTTAATAAAATTAAAATTTTTAAAATGTGCCAGTGTATCGTAAAGATTAAAAAACCTATAAACTTACAAAACCTATAGACATACAAACTTATAAACATACAAACCTTAAACATACAAACCTACAAACATACAAACAAATGTACATAAGTTATACATATAATTTAGATATGTTACATAAATTTACTAAAAAATAGAACGTAATTACACGTGCACGCACAAACACACACAATACACACACAACACACACAACACACACACACACAATAATATACATGTGTGCATAAAACTCTGACAAACAGCTGTGTTTATTAATTCCAATAAATAGAGAGTGATTTATTTCAAGCTTCAAATTCAGCTGTACCGTATTTGATTGTCTATATTGGACCAGGCCAAGCAAGACTCACAGAACAGCTATAACGCCGTGTTTTACATTCTTTTGTTTACCATGCAAATGGCAGACAATCTCAGGTTCAGCCACATCACATTTGCCAGAATATGCAATTAAAACGCGACATTCAGAGGTGTAGTCATGAGAAGAGTTTTATTGACATATTAAATTTAAATTAAACTCTTCTGCTAATGCTTTCAGCGGTCTATCGTTATAATCGGAGTACCAAGACTTCGAGTACCGAGAGTACCAACCACATAGCAAGTCGTTGCAGTGTTCATGTGGTGTCTACCTCCATTTCATGAAGAGTAGGAATCATTGTTTATCAGTGACTGATTTTTCTCTACTGAGCAGATCCAGTTAAAATCAATTCCACCTATGTCTTATAACCGACCGCAGTGTATCAACTTTGTAATTTTTGTTTTCACTTTCAAAAAATAGAATGGCCATGCCCTTTTGAGAACAACTATGTTTATAAACCAACAATTGCGCAAAATCCAAGTGCTTCATCAACTGCTCAACTTGATAAACAATCTTTGAAGCAATTTCAAGAAAATAAACGAGTATAAAAAATATGTATAAATTTAACAAAATCGAAACCGTTTGCAATATTTTTGTAAAAATACATAGAAAAATATATTAAGATTAAGTTGCAATTTAAATTATAAATCAAAATATAGAATTATGTCCACATGCAGCAATAAACTACGCCAATGACATTCAACGATGAAGAAAATTGAACAAATTTAATGTAGATTGATACTATAGCTATGAGCCTTATTCTAGAGCCAGCCTTTTTGGGAATGGCGAATTCAAATCCAGGTAATTTAAAAAATTTAAATTTCGTATTGAGAATGGCAAATTCAAATGCAGGTAATTTAAAAAATTTTAAATTCTACAACTTTCCATCGTTAACTCCGTATGTGTTTATTCCACTCTTTTGTCCGGTAATTTTAATATGCATTATTTGCCAGTTATAGGAGAACAATATGGCACTTTGAAAAAAATGGAGTGATGGAAATTTTATGAAGTAAGTGAAACTGCCCGACGTGAACGTAGCTAGCATGATATTCCCTCAACGTCAAAATAATAATTTATTCGCTAGTCAACGAAGATTTTTAATTAAAAAAAAAACATAAAAAATGTTTTAGTTTATAATAAATGATTATAAATAATAATTATAAACTTGAAAAGTAAATTTCATAAAATTTTTATAAAAAAAATGAAATGTTTTAAAAAACACCTCCAAATATAATTTTCCATATATATATATGTGTATGTAGCAATAAATAAACGAGTCGAAATAGGAAACAGTGTTTTTGTAGCCGCTCGATATGATATGGCGAATTCAAACACCATAAATTTGTATGTTTCCGTTTCGATATGTGTGTGTGTTTGTATGTGTGCGTGTGTGTGATTGTGTGTGTGTTTGTATGTGTGCGTGTGTATGATTGTGTGTGTGTGTAAACAAATACCTTCGTGCGAGCGTGTGTGCGCGAGTGCAAGTTCGTTTCCAGGATTTAAAGGGGGCTGTCTGATTGATGACGACAAGAACAAAAATGGAGAGGCTGATTGTGATGATGATGATGACGCCAATGATGACGCCAGCGATGGCTGATATGTGATGATGGCATACGTGATTGCGATAATTTTCACGAAATTCTCACTAACAAATCAAACGAGACAAAGAAAGCTGCTAGCTCATGAAAAGAAATGCAAATTTGAAATCTAATTAAATATTTAATTAATTAATCTATTAATTTAATTAAATAAAGTGATTAATTTTTGACGTGATAAATTGTTGTTGAAGGTATGTGACGGTGAGGCGAAAGGATGGTTTCAGGCAGGACGCCTTGTCGCTCTGTGAAGTCGGCGTGTTCGTCGTGTGGCCGATATTAGAATATGGTAAGTCGAAAATGCGTGTGTGTGCATGCGTGTATGTGTGTGTGTGTGTGTGGTGTGTGTGTGTGCGTAAGAGTCAATGTGTATATGTGTGAGAATATGTGTGAGAGTCTGTTTGTGTGCCTAATAAATTTAAGTGTTCGAGTTTGCGAATTTGTCCATTGAAGAATGTTTATGTGTGTTTAAATCTTTGTATATGTTTGTGTACCTGTGTGTGTTTGTGTGCTTGTGTGTGTTTATGTGTGTTTTAGTCTATTAGGGTAACGAAATGCACCTACAAATAATTTTTATTTCTAAACTTTTTTTCGGATTAACATTCAAAAAGACGTTAATATTAATGGAAATCTTTTCAGTATTATTTTAGTAAAATGTTTAACACATAGTAATAATTATAACATTAACTTTTGTTTATCGAGTTGAAAAAAGTAATTATTATTAATTATAGTAACCATAATTTTGTTGATATAAATTTGATTACTATGTTAATCGCAGGTGGCAATAATAACAATAACACTAACAACAACAACAACAACAACAACAACAACAACAACAATAATAATAATAACAACGCCACTGACGTTAACAACAATGTAAATAATAACAAAGACAACAATGTGACCTCAAACAATCGCAACAACAGCGATGAAATTCCTATAAAAATAAACCGAGATATCTCGTGTAAGTTGTTGTTGCTGTTGTTGTTGTTGTTGCTGTTCATGCTGAAATTGTCGTTGTTTATGTCGTTGTTGTTTGTGTGTGTTGTGTAGGTTTGCTGTTTCGATAGCTTCACCACTGATCTTACGATCGTCTTGATGAATGGTAGAACGATGACGCTGTTACCAGCAGCGTAAGAGATTTTTTTATTTCAGACACACGCACCTAGCCGTCAAGACGATCTAGCACTGGCTTACATACTTTCACACACACACACACACACACACACACACACACACACACACACACACACACACACACACACACACACACACACACACACACCTCACACACACACTCCACTCACTCACTCACTCACATAACGACATGAAGTTGACTAGACGTACAAAAACACATAGCTACACGCATAAAGGCTCAAATAAACACATAAATACACACACACACACACACACACACACACACACACACACACACACACACAGATACGCATACAAGAATACTCACCCTAAACTTATTCACAAAGCTTCAACATTAGAACTTGCCAGTCCTGTCTCGACCCAGCAAAGCAGCACATTCGGTCCTTACATTTCGGCACTGGCCGCCGATAGAAATCGAAGCACGTGCAGTATAGCCGGTGTTGGGTCGAATTCTGCTTCGTTTGGCTGGTGGCAAGCAGACCTCGGTGAAGATAAAATCGTTTACAGGGTTGGCATCGTCAACACAGCTTCTGAATACGGTACAAATTTGACGATGTTTTTCAAGCTTTTTGAATTGTTACAAAGCAGCTAAATTTCAAGTGACTTATCATAACTAATACCATCATGATTATTGCCAATGCCTACTTTCCAAGTATTCAAAGACCATAGTCATTATACATTATCTTTATCATAACCAAGGTAAATTTTTAATCACCTCATCGTATCCATAACAAAAACACAGAATCCAACTACCTGAACAACTTCAACGTCTCAGTGGATTCCGGAGCTGACAGCCGCAACCAAATATGCTCCATATTCAGCGAAACTGCTTCCGTCTTTCCTGGATTGGAAGTTAACTTCACCTGCAATCCCGGTCCACTCTTTGGCAGGTTGGTTGTGTGGGGCGTGGAACATTTCGCTATCCAAAATCCAAACAAAATCATTTCACCGTGTAAAAGGTGTAATGAATTTGTGAATGGGTTGATACCACGACTTTGGGGTATAAATTTTCCACCAAAAATTGTTTTCCCATTCAGTTATCATGTAATCATTGTATTTTGCACGCACTCATAACCAACTTATAAACACAATTTCTACTATCATCAAATTCAACACCAATAATAATCTAATATGGTAGTGTGAAACATCATTAAATCATCATTTGTAACATCATTTCATCATTTTCAGCGTCAATCACTTCTTCATCAACATTGTCATCATTACACACCATTGGCGATATCAACGACATTCCTTCTATCATCACCACCATGGCGGTCGTCATCACAATTGCCACAAAAAAACCACCCATCCAGATATGTAACCATACAGAGGTTCGGTGGATTCCGACGAGATGCAATATCGTTATGCGAAGTCTTTATTTATACTCTACCTAGCGGTTTGTTGGTTGGGCTAGCTGACTAGTTGGTTTATTGGTTTTTTCACTGATTGATTGATTGATTGATTGGCTGACTGACTAGTTAGTCAGTTGGTTGGTCGATTGGCATGTTGGTTGATTGACTAAATGCTCTCTGTTGATTGATTGATTGGCTGGTTGACTAGTTAGTCAGTTGATCGGTCGGTTGGCATGTTGGATAATTGACTAATTGTTTTCTTAACGGTTAATTAGCACTCAACCAATTATTATAAATTTGACTGATAATCTATGTTACATTGGTTTAATCATGCTGATTTTGGGTGAAGTGATGGCCTAGCGGTTAAGGTCGCCTGGTGCTGTTTCGCAATGCGAGCAATTACCGGGTTCGATTTGATTGTAGGAAAAAAAAAATCTCCGTCCTATCACATGCTATGTGTGTGTAAGTGTTGCTGATTGCTCTGAACCTAGGTGGAGCATTTTTTTTTTACATACAAATAGTATTCTTCAACAAGTATATAGTCAACTGATTCTCTTTCTGATCTCTTTTCAAATGTTTATTCTATCCAAAAATACCTTTTAAATTTTTCAGATTATCTACCTCAGTACACAAAATCTGTAAACTCAGGGGCAGGTAGGTAGAAAGTGAATGTTGTAAATGTAACATATTATCTTCTATTAATGAATCCAATAGAATTTTTACGTCTTTGGCGAATGTTTGAAATTCATATGAGAATTTTTTTTAGTGAACACCACCGATATGCTCATATGTGTCGTAATAATATTTTATAACAATGAATCGTTCTAAATAACTGTTGTTGCACTTTATAAATAACACTGCCACAATAAGACTCGTGCTGTATGGCGAACAATGGCATGCATTGTTAAGATGAATCATGGAGAAAATTAAACTGCGGTTTTTATTTATTATGAGATTATTTTGGTTTAACGTCTAATTAAAATATTTTTTTTAATTTATTTTAAATATGCTGAAAAATTCAAATTAATTATGGGGATAAATGCGTCAGATCATAGTTTTCATCAGATAACTTAATTGTTTTACGTACTTACGCCACAACAACATCTTCGTATTTCTTCTATTAATTTCATTTTTGATGAACTTTTTATCAACCTTAAGCTTTTCTATTATGCTTTACTCATATCTATTGCCTCTACGGTTTAAAGGCAGTGGAGTTTACAGCCTAGGCCTTCACAATTATTCATTTTTTCAAAATAATTTTTACACATAAATATATCAAATTCACGCCAATTGCAATTCAAATGTCTTCTAGGAGTCATTCTAAATAGACTGCATATTAAAAATTTGAATATTTTCAAAAATTTTAATCGAATTTTTTTATATTTCAGTTCTCCTTTATTTCACAATCTAATCCATATTTTACTTTCACTACCAATCGCTTCTCATTTCCAAACCTACCCAAAACCCACCCATTCCAAGTTTCTCATCTCATTCTCAATCCTACCAAAAACCCACTCAATCCATGTTTCTCATCTCATCTCATTCCCAATCTTACCCAAAACCCACTCATTCCATGTTTCAGTCAGTCTTTACCAAAAGAATCCAGTTTCGTGGCAAGAGAGCAGTGTGTTTGATGGACACAACGGAAGTTTAGCCTTCGACGGAATTTCCTCCACATGTCTGGTCATTGGTGTTGGGTCATTTTCCGAAAGTTTTGCCTGGTTTCAAGTCGATCTCGGGGAAGTGGTCCAAGTGTTTTCTATTTCACTGTTGAATTCCAATAATTCTTACGGTGAGTATGATTTTGTGTTGGTTAAAAGGGTTTAATGTTTTTTGCTGATGTATTTGTTGTTTGTACATTGCGGTTATTTATGTTAATAAAAACTATTAGGATTAATTTCTTGAAATTTATTAAACTATGAAAATTTTTTAACGTTCAAGTCAGCACATAACACCAAACCATGACACGAGTCAGTGCATTTTCTATATATGTTGGTTGACAAATGTTTCATTTAAGTGTTGATTCTGTAAACTAATATTTGACTTTTTAAAACAATCAAAGTAAATGAAAAATCACTCAAATCTCAACCATCCAACCAACCAAATAATCAGCCACTATATAACCAACCAATCAACCAGCCAATCAACCAACTATCCAACCAACCAATCAACCAACTATTCAACCAACCAATCAACCGACAGATGCTCTCTTCATGAACAACATCTCGATCGGAGTGGACCCGTACATCAGACTGCCACAGGGCACCATAGGGACCCTCTGCAACTCCTACGAAAAACCTGACCCCATACCACCAAAAGGTCAACTGATTATCGTCTGCGTGGACTCCGGGGTCAGAGGTCGTTATGTGACCTTGCGGAGGACGGGAGGGTTTCGGATGGATGCCTTGTCCATATGTGAGATGAAGGTATACGCTGTGGACCAGAAAGACGGTTGGTTTTGCAAAAATTAAAAAATTGAATATCTATTTGAATAATTTTCTTGATTGATTTGTGGTTAAGCAGCATGTTGTGATAGGTTTTTATATTTTTATTAATGAATTTTTGTTTATAAAAATTTTAGTTATAATTAAAAATTTTATTTCAGCAAACATCCCAAAAAAACTTTAACGACTGACACACAGGTTACTCGTTCAACACGCCAAAATTCCAACCCACCTCCCTCCCAGCAGTTCAGACAACAACGTCCTCTGTACAAACAACAACAACAACCAAACAGTCAACCACAACATCTCAATTCATTCCGACAACTACAACTTCACCGAAGACGGCCACTCAAACCACCACAACTACAACAACATCGACAATTTCTACGAGGAGAATAACTCCAGCCAGACCAGGCATTTCAACAACAACAACAACCGCCTATTCAACATCAGCTACAAATCAGTCTTCATCAAGTTACCAGCATTAGTATTCTTGTAACATTAACAATGTGATAATAAGACAAAAATACAAAATAGAAATTATTATTATTATTATTATTCAGCTTGTACGGCCGGAGAGTTCAGATGCGACGATGGTAAGTGCATAGCGTTGAAGTGGTGGTGTGACCGGACGAAAGATTGTGATGACGTCAGTGACGAGCTGGGATGTGGTTGGTTATTGGATTTGTTGGTTGGCTGGTTGTAGGGTTGCGTGGTTGACTGGTTGGTTGGTTGGTCGATTGGTTGGTTGGTCAGTTGATTGATTGATTGGTCAGTTGATTGATTGATTGGTTGGTTGGTTGGTTGGCTGGCTGCGTGGTTTGTTGGTGGGTTGATTGTTTGGTTGGTCAGTTGATTGATTGATTGGTTGGTTGGTTGGTTGAATAGTCAGTCGGTTTTTAATTTGTATGGTTGATTATTGTGGGGTTGTGTAGTTGGTTTGTCAGCTGGTTGATTGGTTGGTTGGTCAGTTGATTGATTGGTTGGTCAGTTGATTGATTGATTGATCAGTTGATTGATTGATTGGTTGGCTGGCTGGCTGTGTGGTTTGTTGATTGGTTGGCTGTTTGGTTGGTCAGTTGATTGATTGATTGATTGGTTGGTTGGTTGGTTGAATAGTCGGTTTTTAATTTGTATGGCTGATTGTTTGATGTGTTGACTTGGGTGTTTAATTGGTGATCATCATCTCACTCGAATGAATCAATCCAGCATACAAACCAACAAATAGTTTGTCAAAGAAAAATTAATTTGCTAATAGACTGGTTGGTCGTAGCCGTGATGCAAGAAGGTGTAAAAAGCGATAGAAAAAATAACCGTAAATTACTAATGGTATAATAACAAGTTGATTTGTGGTCCGTTCATTTTCTTGAAATCAAACAACAACCAAAAATTAAAATTAAACTTCTAGATACTGCACAAATAGTTTACAAAGCCACCCAAATAAACAATTAAACGAACGACACTTAATAAATTTTTTAATTTCATTTAAAAACCAAGTTTCTAAGCCGAGTCCTTTAGAAGTAGGTAATTATGTTGTTAAAATGACTAAATAATTTTCCGAATTTCTAAATAGAGTGCACTGTGAATGAGTTCAGATGCGCAAACACGATGTGCATCAAAAAGCTGTGGGTCTGTGATGGTGCTAATGATTGCGGCGACAAAAGTGACGAACTGAATTGCAGTAAATTTTTGTTGTTGTTGCTGTTGTTGTTGTTGATGTTGCTGTTGTTGTTGTTGTTGATGTGATGTTGTTGTTGATGTGATGTTGTTGTTGATGTGATGTTGTTGTTGAAGTTGTTTTTGTTGTTGTTGACGTTGCTGTTGGAGTTGTTTTTGTT